AATTAATGAGCGCCTTCAGAGTCTCTGCAGATACATGTAAAATGCATTGGTTTTTTACCTTCATATTTTGATAGATGAAAAGATTTTTTCATGCTTCCTGACCAAACTTATTATTATTTGCTTGTCAAATTTACCTTAATATTTTTTACCATTTAGTTTTAAGACAGTATGAGATGGCAACAGATAAACGTCTGAGTTGTCTCCATTTAATAGTCATTGAGAAGGAGACTGTAAGGCAACAAGATTTATATTATAATATGATAAGTTTCCCTGCAGGTTTGAAATAAGTTGATTTTTTTTTGTTTTGTTTTGTTTGGTTGGTTGGTTTGGTTTTGGGTTTTTTGGGGGGTCTTTTTGTGTTTGTTTTTGGTTTGGTTTGGTTTTTGGGTTTTGTTTGTTTGTTTTTTAAATTTTATTAAAGTATTGTCTTTAAAAAGCTTTTAGAAAAATGTGACATCAGGAAAAAATAGACTTTGCAAATAGAAAAGTCTGTGGTAATACAGCCTAGCAGGGCGAAATGTAAACTTCCTTACTGAACTGAATACAATTTATAAATTTAGTGTGGCTGGATCTAAACTTTTTGCTGGAGTTGTTTTAAAATGTGTCTTCATAAACACTTCCCATGGAGATATTCCTTATAAAAATAAATGTTAATAACTTGCTGACAGAGAATTTATAGAACCTCAGTCTCAGCCACCTTTCGGCCCCAGGAATTACTGTACGATAAACCCAAATTTATACAAAGGGTGAAATATACAGTAGGGCAGAACAAAGGGAATGCAGAAGGGTTCTAACTGTTTTCCTAAAATTATAATAGTGGCATATTCCTGTTACTTTCACTGAAGCAGATGCACGAACCGTGAATACTAGTGTTTAATTTGTGATCTCTGAGTGATCTAAATAGATCTATATCTTATGAAAAATGCCTTACTGTGGCCAGAATCTGTATACACAGTATAACTTCAGCGTAGGTAGAAGTGGTGTTTCCTAAATTGCCTGTCAAGCATGACTTAATCCCACTTTGCAAATACTGCCTACACCAGTGAGAGATGTTAATTTCCATACCCATTCATTTAGAAGGCTCTGCTGAGACTGTCAAAGAGATGCTAATTATAATCAGCCATGGTGATCCCTCAGGAATTAGGCTGGGATTGAGAAAAGGCCTAATTGCTGAAATTACACTACCGTCGGGGATTAAAGTGATGGGTTCTGCTCCCTTTTTTTTTTTTCTTTCTCTGGTAGCTTGAGGAACAGCTGTCACAGGCAGTTCTGGGGCTCTTCAGGTGATGTTTTTGTGACCACTTTGTCACCTCTTGGCCTAGTTTATCTACCACTGGTGCTGATTTTAAGATAAATCATCAGCTTCATTAAAGGCAGACAGCAGAACTTGGAAGTCCAGTTGATTAACTCTGTGCAGCAACACAAAGTGCCTGGAGTTAGGCAGAATTCAAACAGGAGATTCTGCTCTAAGAGAAATTTAGGGGACCTACAATAGCATTAATATCTGAAAATCTGAACAAATTTTCATAAGTCCTTACTACTGTGACAAAAAAGCTAAATTTTCATTCAGGAGAGAAATTAAAATTGACAGTTCTGTGCTGCTGTTGATAAAATCTCCCAGACAGGAGATAATTTTAAATAAAGGCTTTCCTTGAGGATGAATGCCTGTGTCCTTGATAAATCTTTCCTTTTCCATTCCAGTAATAACCAAAGTTTGGGTTTTTTGTTTTTGTAGGTGAACATTCTTTATTGTGAGCAAAGCTAAATATGAATGTTCTGTGCTGAAAATATGAATGTTCCTTGAATCCACTGGATCCTTTGTTATATATTAAATATATGATAGCAAGGTGAAGAGAAGGGAAGGTGTGTCTGTTTCCTGTGGGTAAAATCTCATGAGTTGCAACATTTTTTCTTGCCACTGGTACATCTTTCACAATTTGGACATCAAGGGTATGTATTGTGTCTGTGTGAAGCTGGGTCATTGATGACAATCAAATTGCTCAAATTTTGAAGCCTTCTACTCATTTTTTTGCTTGCTTTGCTCTCTGTATACATTTTTTATGGCAAAACTTCTAGTGCTGGTTTAAGTCCTTTATTGTACTGAGAGGAGATGGATCCTGTTTGTGAGGACAGCACTGTCATTATTACCTAGACAAGTCAAAACTGTAGAATTTTCATTACAAGTGGTGATACACAGAGAATAAAGGTGCATAGGGTCTTCTTTTTTTTCCAAACTAAAAAGTGAATATGATAGATTGGCAGGTATTTCTTTTTAAACAATTGACTCCTGTATATCAAAGTAAAATAATGCAGAAATCTCTTTTAAAATCTAGGTGGACTGCCCATCTTTAACTAGGCTACAGAAGTTAATTTTGAATGCCTGTAGTTTCAGAGATGGTGATGGTATATTACCAAATGCCTTGAGAATGAGTCCTGGCATTTTCTATATTAAAGACCTGTTGTGTTTCCAGGTCTCCAACAATTGTAGGACTGTATTGATTTAATTTCATCCGGAGTCTTCCAAACAAACAATAGTTATTTTTAGTTTCCAGTTATTTTCTAGAATATTCTATCTTATTTGAAGACTCCCACTGCCCACCAAATAATATCACTTTTTTCAAAACAACAACAAAAAAATACAGCAGGAATTTTTATTTAAAGTCTTTAATCTTAGCACAAATAATCTTTTAGTACTTGAGCTACAGTTCCCTTTCTTGCTCTCCTCAATTTTGCTTCTTGCAGTTTCTCACCTGCAGAAGGTATGTTATCTATTGGGAGCATTTTCTTTTCTTGTTCAGTGCTTGTTTTAGGTGGTTCAACTGCAGGCTTTCATCAAACAGTACTCTTGTCTGTATTTAAACTACTACTATTCTTCTCAAAGGTGTAATAATCATTCATATTGCATTACATAATATAAAAGTAAGAAATTTAATTTCCTGAGGAGTAAAGGAACTTTACTTCCTTAAAATGGTGCTGAAATTTAGACAGAAAATATTTTCAGAATGAAAAACTAGGTTTGCATCTCAGACTGTTTCTCATTTTTCCCAATGATTTTGTGTTGAGCAATGAATAATATTTTGCTGAAGGTTTCTTTGGCCTTTACACAAGTACTATAAATTAACTCATTAATGGGAATTATTTTAGGGCAGCAGTACTGGGTGTGTGTTTAAAGTCTTATGCTGATGCTTCAAGTATATGCCCTCTTTTCATTAGCAGTTTTAACAAGGAGTTTGGCTTAAAAGAAATGAAACACAAAACAAAAAGCCCCAAGCCTGTGGTGGTCAGTCGTCACCTGTGAGCCAGTCTGCTGCTGTTCGTAAGATTGCATTCTGGGCTATCTGAATGAGAAACTTTTTTTTTGTGTGTGATATTAAAAGTAAAATTCTTATTTAGAAAGAAGAGAAAAAATTCTCTTTTAAATTGTTTTTGTTCTGTATCTAAACAACAGAACAATGCTGAGCATGAGGGCCATGATCACCATTGCATATTACACAAGTCACAACAGAGACATTTTTTATCTAACACCAGCATAATGTAGGTTTTGTGTATGAGGTTAACCTCTGGATCTACTTCTTGGCCAAAGTAGAGAGTGTGGGAGGAGAACAGCAAAAAGGATAAGAGCTAGTAATAGTTAAGTTGTTCAAGTTTGTTGGGTTCTTGACAGTAAACTGTTTTATATGTATTAATTATGAAGAGGTCAACTTTAGGCAGTGGTGTTGGACTAAATAAAATAGTGTTTGTGCAGATGTTAGACATACTACCCCCAACATGCTGCATGTAAACAGTAACTATCATGAAGATATTTTCAACATTTAGCACTGGAAAAGTAAGCATATCTAGTTAAAGTTCAGTGTGGAGAACTAGGCAGTAGTTTAACCCTTTCCAGCATTTATTGTGGGAATGTGTCTTGTCTGTACTGGACTTTGAAACTTGTTAATTAAACTTGTGCTGTGGAAATATGCCTGTTGTCACCCTACAAATATCTGTGATGTGGTATAGTGCATGCTGGTAAATATTTAGTATTATTAAATGTTCAGGATGTCCTTCTTTGTAAGCACTGGAGCCTCTGTTTAATTTAACAGTGTTCTTGGTCAGAAGCACTTTTTTTTTTGAGAAACCCTGAAAATGCCACTTGTGGGTTGTATATTATCCTCCTATTTCACTTTCAGTAGATGTGAAAGGAATGAAGAAACAGGACTCGTTATTTACTTTCTGTGAGAACCTTTTTTGTTGAATCTCAAAATTATGGCATCTTTCATCCATGTCAAGATTAAACCTCTCTAAATTGCACAGAAAGTAATAATCAGGGAAGTTACCATAACAGCATCAGCCTCAGTCACCACATTATTATTTAATGTATTTCAGTTGAAATTTGTGCTGTTATGGATATGATTGTCTTGAAAATAATAAGTAGTTAAGGATTTTATTTTTAAAGCAAGCATACCAAATGAAAATATGCTACAAGATGTTGATAGCTGGAATAAAAATATCTACGTAACTTCTTAGTGCATTACTAGCGGTTTTTTAGGGGGGGTTTGGCTTAAGGAAGGATCTGGTTTTCTTGAGATTTGAGCTTCAAGGAGGTAATCGTCAAAGCAGAGAGGGCATTGTGTTTTAAGTGTGGATAATGCATATTTTATGAATGTACATGGTACATGTTAAATATGAACCAGGTAAGAAATCATAGTTTAGGTAAATGAACAAGGACAAAGCCTACTTTACTCAGCCTCAGCGAAGGAGTCAGTGAAAATCTAGACAGATTACCCAGTTCTTGCTGTCCACTGACTGCAAAGAGGTATCAAGGGAAGCTTTTCTTCCAGCTTAAATTTAGTCTCTTTGAATTTCCCTTTATGCCATCTGCTTTGACACAAACTGCTCCCAGATCTGAGCCCATCTTAGCAGTATAGAGGTTTTAATTAAAGAAACCAAATTTTATGGATTGTCTTGCGGTGTTTCGTATTTGAGTTCTTTTTAGCTTTGGTCCTTTTTCCCTTTGGCAGCACCGGAGCGAAGGGATTCCTCTCTCCTGGGGAGCCCAGGCGTTGCTGACACAGCTCCAAGAAGGAAGAGAAGACAAAGGGCAGCAAAACCTGCTGGTACAGGGCCTAAGGTGGCATCTTATGAGGCAGAACAACCACCTGAAGAAAAGTAAGCAGTTTTTAAATGTATTTAAATGTTTTTAAACCTAAAGAAGTCGTAGGATTTGTTGTGTTCCAAACCCAGCTGATCACGTGGTCTGGGAGGTGCTTAGTTATGCAGAGTATTACCTCAGAGCTGCAATATGGTTAGTGGTATTTCTTCAAAATATATGGCAAATTATATTTGAAAATACTTATAGTCCATTTTTGTCTGTAATATTCCATGGATAACAAACTCTTTAAACCGATAGGAACACAAGTATATTACAAAGACATTTCCCATGATTAGCAAAGATTTCTGTTTAAATAAACAAGAGAATTATCTTTTATTATTATATTTTGATGTAGAAGATTGTGGCTTGATGCCAGCTAGGAATGTTTAAATTTACAATCCTGTTTTATTAGTTTAAAAATTATATTTTTTAGAATGGTGTAGAAAGATATTAGATTCTACTTTTTCTGTTCTTTTACAGTACATTGCAATGAAAAATGCCCATTCCCCATTGTATGTTGTCCATTTAATTTTGAAAGTCTGCCTGTGTTTGGCTGAAATTCAGTTTCACTTTTTTTTAGTATTGATTGTTGAAGCAAAACCGATGGAGGCAAATTATTGCAGAGGAGTATAGAAAGGCCTTGGACTGAGTATTCCTCTGTGTAGGGGAATGACTAAGAAAATACTGATATTTTTGTTTTAATTCATTTAAGTAGGGCAAATTTAGAAAAAAACAGAGCAGTTAAGTTTTTCTTCTATACAATCAAGCTCTAATATGATTACAGATCAAGTCACAGCTGAACCTGAAGAGTGTCTCTTCTTCTGGGCTATAATATAATTAGTTACATTTTAAAGCTTGGGATATGGAACATCCATTCTGTCAGTCTCTATTCCCCTTTTTTCCCTTTGCACTATGTGGCAGTGGTTGTTCTTTGGTTAGCTATGGAGATACAAAATCTCTGCATTTACCTGAAAAATTACAACAGCTGAACCGTAAGAATTTTCACTTTTCTGATTATTTTTCCCAGTGTCCTTGAGGGTTTTTGAGCTTCATCTTCAGTCTTTTGCCAGCTGCTAATCAAGTTTTCAGTCAATTTACTTGGCTAATAATTTTCACTTCTCTCCAGCCTGTCAAAAGTAGGGAGATGTGGAATTAGCACCAGTTCACAAATATAGGTGTTCCTTTTTTATGAAGCCTCTCCAGTAATTTGTGCTGATGGAATGCCAGATCCTACATGGTACAAAAAGGCTTTATCTTAAGCTGACAGGATGTTGGGGTCCTGCCCAGAAATGTTTTCCAGTATTGGGTCACTGAGCAAAAAAATAAAATTACTAATTCCAAGCAAACCACCCCAGCCTGCTGGGGCGGCAAGGAGACAGGGGGGGAAGTTAACCTCAGAATTCCTTCAACTCTGGAAGGGCTCCATCACAAACATGGGAGATGTGCAGACCTTGGAAGCGTGTCGTGGTTTTTCTGCTTGGCAGGAGGATCAAATGACAGATTGTGATCACGTTTGCAAATGCACGAACGACCCCTTGTTTCTGAACACTCCTGCATAGACCTGCAGAAGGAGTTGGTTCTTTAATGTAAATGCTAATGTAAATGCTTTATAAATAAGGTGCAGTTGCACAAAACCATATCCAACAGCCCTTGCTTTAACAAATAAAGCTTATTTAGAATTATTTTCCATTTGAAATTTTGGTGACATCACTGGTGATCATTTCATGTTCACCAGGGCTGTCACAAGCCAAACATCAGGAGCCTAATACTGTGTTTATGTTTTTGCATCATAAATTGACTGATAAAAGATCTTAAATCAGATGAAAAAAATACCTCTTCTTCAAAGGAATCAGCCAAGTTTTTCTTTTCTCCTTGCCTTTCAGATTGTTTTTTAAAACCACAGTTTTTCAAGTCATTGTTACATAGAAATTATGTCCTTAACTTCTACATATTTCTTATAAGATTTTAAAGTATTCAAAGAAGGTAGCATTTATCTTGAAATAAAAAGCATCTAAAGTAAATACTGAGTCATGAAAACTGAAAGGGTTCTATTTCTGCAAATATTTTAGATTTATGGATGTTGTTGCTAGTTATGTGGCAATTCTCTAGTCCTTTGGAATGAAAATATATTCTTAGATATGACCAAGAACACTCAGAAGAATGCAAATAAAGATCTGTTTGACATAGAAATTAGAGCAAAAGGAGTGCTACCTTTCTCATGCTTTGTGTGTGGGTGCGGTGGCAGAAAAGGCAGTTGAATTGTGTTTATCCACATAGACATCTAGTATTACATTGGCAATTTATTCAAGGGCTAAATCAACATTTTTTATGAAACTTGGCAATGTGCTTTGGATAATATGAAGCTTAGTGAAAGTAGCCATGAGATCAGCAAAGAGGTGAACTAGGATTTGTGGAACAAGGTTGCTAAATGAACTGTTTAATTATTTGCTGAAATAAAGACGTACTTTAGGATAAAGCAGAAATTTAGGATAATTACTTGGTCAGTGAACTGTCAAGATTTTGAGGTTTATCCGGCTCTCTAGCAGGTTGTTTTTCAAATCTGATATTCAATGAAAGGAAATGCTTCCTTAGGCAGACAGATGTTACTTTTAGTTAATAACAGTTGAACTGTGGCTTTTAATTTACACATTTTAAATGTGACAAAGGATGGATCTTGCAGTTCAAAACATGATTGAGCCAAGAAGTTAAATAAAATTATTCTGGTTCTAGTAAACTGTGATGGTATTGATGCAGCTTTAACTGTAACTTAATATATGGCAATTTCCTAAGGTGCAAAGCAGAGATAATATATAAGTCAAGTTAAGATGCAAATTCTACTTTTCACAATTTGCATTTCATAATTGGAGTGGAGAAATTAATGAGAGTTTTCCCAATCCACAGTTAGAAATTGTGCTTATTACCCAAATCTCTCTGCAGGCTGCATATGAATGACACCATTAGCCATGTGGAATATGCATTCAACAGAGAGGCTTAAGTGTAGGGCGCCTCAACCTGAATCCTGTAAATAATTGGATGTTTCTATAATATCTTCACTTTAAAAGTATTTGAACCTATTCGGGAGTAGATAGTACCTACTGAGGATGGCAAATTTTTTGATATAATGTTAAAAATTAAGTACAGTCTGTAGTCACAGAGTACAATGGAACAGAGCTGGAGCCTCTGTAACTAAAAAAAAAGTAAATCAGGAAAAAACCTCCCTTTCTAGTGCAACTTACAGCTTTTACTTTGCTTCCACGAGGGAAAAATTCCATCTTTCTGCTTTGGTTTAACAAAATTGGTTTTATTTAATGAGTTAAGAAAAGCAAAAGCCTTCCTTTTTTTTCTGTCCGTCATTTTTTACTAATAAAGGATCTAGTTTTATGGTCCTTATTCACACATGGATTTCCTAGGAGGAAGGCTTTCCTGGATAATTTCTATAAGTTACTCTATGTATTTCAAAGTATAATCCATTCCAGCTGCTCAGTAGTGTTCCTAATTTCTCTACTATTTAATAATATACATATACACACATATACATACAATTGGCAGAAGTGGTTTGGGGGAAGGCATCTCAAATACAGGAAAAACATTATTATGGATGCAAATGTGCTGGATTCTCCTGAGATGAAGACTAGAGAAAACCAAAAGATGTTATTATACAGGAATTGTTTCATAATTTTGAGAAGCAAGTGTTAGGAAGTACTTTTAGTTCAATTGACTGAAGAATAACAGGTGTTATTTGCTTTTATACATAAACGCTGCTTTTTCAGAGAGCTCAAAGGGTTCAGCATATTTTTGGGGTTATCAGCAGCATCCAAGTCAATAAAAAAACCCCATACCGAGACTGGTGACTGCATATTTGGAAGTCCCAGGAGTTGCCAGGGGGTGTTTTGTGCCACCTGCATTGCCACCAATTGCTCCATCAGAGGAGGCCAAACAGAGAATGTAATTTTTACTTTAAACACGATTTGTTACAGTCCTCACAACTCGGTGTTTGTTCTTGACTTCAGGGCCTGATTAAAGTTAGTCATGTGTGTAATTGTGGGAAGAAGGGGCTGCTGCATAGTTTTTGCTTGTTAATGATAAATGTGATTTTTTTTTTCAGTTTTCATACTCTCTTTCTGTACCTTCAAAAGGTTTTTAGAGTCTTCATCCCAGTACTGTAATAAGCTGGACTTGTCTTTCTTTTGATAACCTTCCACCCCCTTAAAAGCGCTCAGAGCCTGTGGTGAGCCAGGAGCTCCCTGGGGATCCTCTCTCTGCATTTGTTTAATTTACTGCTTGCGGTTCACATTTTTAAAATCCTAATGCAACATTTATTTAAAGTGTGGTTTGCCACCACCAATGACTCAGGTAGGAGAAACCATAAATTTGTATCAGAACTGGGCATTCTCAGAGGGTTACACACAGACATGGGGTTTTTTTCTGTCTCACACAATGACTAATTCTTCTTATAAAAAAGTTTAAGCAGGGAAAAATTGGATCCCACTGAAAATGATACCATAACCTTCCATGCTGCAGAGGGGATATATAGATTGCCCCACAGTTACCTCCCTTTTAAAGAAGGACATATTTAAGAGTTCATGTTGACATGTCACTTTTTTATTCATTAACTGTATTTATTTAATACAATAGGAGAGAACTTGGTGTGACAAACACTGTAGTCACTGGTGTATCAGTGAGTCAGTGCACTGTCTGTGTACAGAGGTGATAAACTCATTCCTGCCATAATAAATTTATGGAATGCAGTGTTTAGAAAGTTTTTGATGGTTAACTCATTCAGAGTGAAATGTAGGCAAGTTAAAAAATCTCTTAGAAGAGACTCTAATGTGAGTATCAAAAAAAAAAATTAAATACTCAATTAAGGCATTCTGCTTCATGCTTGCTCAGCATTTTCTTATACTTTGGGATGGCTTCTTTATTTCCTTCCTTCCTTCCTTCCTTCCTTCCTTCCTTCCTTCCTTCCTTCCTCCCTCCCTCCCTCCCTCCCTCCCCCCCTTCCTCCTTTCCTTTTGAT